TACTACCTTAAAACAGGCCACAGCCAATCCTTTGATATCTCTTCTAATTCATCATTCACACAATTATCCTTGTGTTTGGCACCCGGGGTGACGAGCCATCAGCACTTCTTACAACTTTGGCTGTCGCCGGAGATTACACGTTTTATGTGCACTAACGCCTGGGGCCACGTGATAATTCGGTACTTCACCAAGCCATAGCTTTCTGTGTAACACACGTTTTTGGTGCTATTTTAGTATGATTACCCGGATAACGATAGATAAAAGAACATAACACACTTTTATCTTCTTTTCGCTACCTATTATTACCCGAGTATTTTCATCCGTGAAATACACAAAATGAGGCGTAGGACGCCGAAACACAAGAGAAACGGGAACCGCTTGTCCACGAGGCGATTGTAGAACGAGGACAGCTGGTTCCGCTCCTTGCTTGATATTTGGCATTCGGTAGGGGACAGTTCTGCCGTACTTCACTTATGCAAGTGAAATGCGTTGATAATAGCCCAGAAACTGATTTTATGGAGCTAATTATTAGTTCGCGTGAATGTTTCGTTGCGAGAGATCATCGCGACGGTGTACAAAATAGCCTCGACTTTCAAAAACCATGCTGATTAGCTCCATGCTCTGCATGACTTGTCGCATTTCAAGGACTGCGCCGAGAGGGGTGTGTTCTGTATAACAAATTGTGTGGATATAGGACTTACTAGCTGTGTATCATTTCTTCGGGCGAAGTTTTCTTACAAAAAAAAACACTTTTCTGAAACAAAGAGATTGTTTGATGTCTTTGATGGACCCTTACGTAATTTTCTGCTTGCATTCCACATGAATTCATAAAATAATGTAACACCAAAGTTAATGGCCAAGCAAGAAACAAACTTTCGNATCCAATGGGTGCCGGGGGTAAAGCTGCCGGGCCGTGAAGCTGACCACTCACCTCCTATTAGTGCCGAGGTTAAGAAAACGTGGGTCTATACATCCACTCCGCCATGCGTCTTCATTGCGTATTGCTTAATTAGTTAAGCACAGGGAAAACTTTACCATGAAGGGCTACTGACAGCAGTAATTTTTTTTCCTTAGCACTGCAGCCCCAGTGGGCCTAGGCCTACCTCCATGAACTTCTCCGTTCACTTAGGAGATCTTACTAGATCTTACACATTCGGTAGGACTCCTTGGGCGGGTGATCAGCTCGTCGCAAGGCTTCGAGTTATTAATCTAGATAACAAAGACGAAGGGTAGCGACATCACGCATATTTTCTATTGTTTTCAGCAATAGCAACTCAAGATTATAGGCCCAATAAATACCAGACAATCGCTTTAGCATTAGCGCAATGGCGAAACAGAGATGCGCTTAGCTTTATGCATGATACCTTACATTATATACTGTACAATCTTCTAGCAATTAGCGTAGAGGCAAGGGGAAGGCAAAGTGAGTACATTTTATAAGCATCTCACAAGTAATCCCGATCCGAGATGGAATGACACACACGTCAGTGTGCTAAACGCGCTGGACAATTACTTTTATCCGGAAACATGATTGGGTCATTTCGCTGGAAGATGACTGCAGATACTTAACGGTTATTGCTGGGCAGCTGTTCAAACAGGTGCAGACGGTGTAGAATTGTAACTTCTAACCAAAGTTCCGAGTAACTCTGCAATACCCGAAACAAAGGAATTCTGTAAGTTTTCGTAGGAAGAGAAACATGCAAATACCTGTATGTATTCATATCCGGGACCGAAAAAGGATATCTTCTCTAGAACTTTTGAAGTACGAAAAGTTCTGTATCGTCGTGATTCGGTTTTACACTAAACGGCACTCACGGATGAGAAGGCCGTTGCATATCTGGAACTGCAACAGAGCAGTTCGTGCCCAGCTAGCATTCAATAGATACATGTGTGGACCTCCGCGGAATCGTAACACGAGCCTCAAACTGCATTGAGAGTAAGGACAAAAACAGGGAGACAAATGAGAGAAAACGGGAGGACAGATGGAAGAGAATAGAAATTAAAGTAAGACAGGAAGAACAGAAAATAAGAACGTTAAATAAACGATTAACAATNGATCTTACAAACGATTAACAAGTCCACGCGTAGTATCGGTAATGATTTTCAATCAGTGAACACATCTCAACTGTTCTAGATATACTAGCAACAAGGAAATTTCAGTCTTTTCTCTACTTTTCGCAGTTAATCAGGAAGACGACAGAGGGCTAACAGATGTATATGCCCACAACCTACACACAGGAGAATACAACAGTTTCTACGAATCTTGCCTCTTATTATAAACTGGGTAAATTACTTGAGTGGTACCAACACAGAAGTGTAATTTGATTTTGCTAAACTTTCCTGTTTCTATCGCAGAAACCAACCAGCTAATTAGGTAATTAAAACAACCAACTTAATGGTGCAAAATCCTACACGAGAGGCTAACTGTCTATCAGAAAGTCAACAAATTTTCCGTTTTTCATTACCGTGTTCACACAAACCCCACGTACGGACACTGCTGAACCCCAATAAAGCAATAAATTACTGGATTGTGACGTAAATAAATCAGGTCCGCAGCGGACCGTCCGTTTGTCTCACTCTACTCCCTGACAGTGGGTCACAGGCTACAGACTGCTGCTGTAACTGTTCTTTTGAGGGGGGTAAGGGCTCCTTGGGACTGGAGGGCGCTATGTTGCACTCCAGCTGTAGTGGATATTCACTGGATATTGACTGCTGCCTCGCCCTTAGCTCCTGAAGTCACCTCCGCTGGGCTTTCCATTAACCCCTACCCTTTCTTGGTGTTGCGATTGTAGACTCGGAAAGTAGAATGTCTTGTATTGGGCGCCAGTAAGCACCGAGCGGGGGTGCTTAAAATTAGAGGTGGTGTCTCCGGGTTGGAGATGACCAGCTCTGCTCAGCTTTCGGTGGTCCGGGGATCAAATCCCGGGGTCTTAACAGGCCTTGCTCCGTCAGGCAAGAAGAGCACTAATGCTACGCTTTATTCACCATTACCAGACGACCGGGGTAGCGTAGTCGGTATAGCGACTGGCTATAGGGGTCGAAGTTCGAGTCCCGGTAGGGTTAAGAATTTTCTCTTCTCAAAATCGTCCAGACTGGCTCTGGGTTCCACCCAACCGCCTATCCCTTGGGGAAAGCTGCCGGGGCGTGAAGCTGACTACTCATCTCCAACTAGTGTCGAGGTCAAGAAAATGCGGATCTATACATCCACTCCCCCATACGCCTTCATGGCGTAGTGCTTACTTCGTTGAGCATAGGGACAACTTTACCTTCCCTTTCGCCAGACGACAGTTTGCACTTAAATGACCATTTATTGAAGAGCGAAATGGCAGATACACTGACTTAGTCTGATAGTAATCTCAACTAGTAAATTCACTTTAATATTGTAGTCACTTTGATGTATTTGTGAGTTGTACACCACTCGTTAAGTAACTCGGACTGCGCCACAGGTGTTTAAATTTTTATAATTTGCAATTTAGGCAGAGTGACGCGGGTTCCCGTCCCTACATTTCAAAAGTTGAAACGAGGGCGTTCCCTCGGAACTGAAGTCTCCTGTAGTAGAGGCGACCTCAGAGATCCAGCCTCCGAAAAAACTTCCATCCTCCAAACATCCATCGTTTAAAATTAAGGAGGTTTCCTAAATTTACGTCTCCCAATCAACTATAGGTGTTAATGACTTCGGACCTTACATTCCAAATGACGTTTTTTACAGCTCTCTGATCTATGATAGTCATAGTGTGGGTCTCCAGCACACCTCCTCTTGACTTATTACGTCCAAAAAGACGTCAAAAGTTACAGTTTCAAAAGCGCCACCGAACGCTCTGAGCATGCCAATCTCCAGGAGTGGGCGGATGTTGCATCCTGTGCTCCAGCAGTAATAATGGGCCTATGGCGCATTCTCAGGGCAAGTATGCGAACTTCTACACATTTCCCTTCCATTCTAACATAAATTGCATTACTAATTAGCTACCATCAACCTGGATATATTACATTACAATGACTTAATTACAATGAGCGGTTACATTGACTTTTTTTACTTGTGGGGAAGATTAATGATTATATTCATCTGCTGGACTTACGTTGCAGACCGTGCCCCTTGAAAGACAGATTTGCTGCTCACTCAGTTTTGATCTCCGAAATCTTCTTATATATTCTTTTAGTAAGCATAAAATAAAAGCGTGATGGGGAAATGACCCATCCACATTTAATCAACGAATTTCAATGAAATGGAATATCGTCAATATAAATTAAAATGCGTAGAATATCATTTCTGTTCGCATTTATATCAGAGTCTACTTAACTAATTAACTAGCTCCCTGGAGCTGAGCCCTTCTCGAGAAGACACCAGTTGCGCAGCTACTCAACAATTTCTCAACATGTTATGGAACCCCGAAGGTTCATCACCATATCCACAAAATCCTTCCACTGGTCCCTAACCTGTAACAGATCAATCCAGTCCATACCATCCCATCTAGTCTCTCGAAGATCCGTCTCAATAGTATCCTTCCCTATACGTCTAGGTTTCCTAGCTGTGTCTTTCTTTCTGGCTTTCCCACCAATATCCTATATGCATTCCTCTTCTCCCCCATTCGTGCTACATGCCCTGCCCACCCCATCCTCCTTCACTTGACCATTATAATTATAGAATATAAAAAAAAATGTTCTCCCGAGACTGGAAATTTTTAAATTCGGACGTCAGCTTGGAGAGAAGCGATACTCAAAAGTCCTCACTTCCGGTACGTCTTCATGGAGCTGTACTTCATTAAGAGTAGGGATTACTTTGTTATCTGTGCTTATAATACAACCAGTCGCTCCTTCTTTAAATGGGTACAAAAGGTTCATGTCCTCTACAGGGAAAACCAATTTGTAAAGCTACAGTGCAAGTTGCTCGCTGTGACCTTCAGATGGCACTTCTATACGTGTTTTGTTGTCGTTCAAACGTCATCGCGCAAGTCCTTGAGGCACCGTCCGACGCCTCGCCGATAGGGCTCGACTCGTCAGTTTGGTGGGTTACGTGACGTGGTAATGTAGGAAACGCGGGAATGGTGGAGTGGAGACATGACGCAGCGCGCGTGGAGGTCCGAGATTCTGCACCCGGAACAAAACACGACGATGTCAGCGAGGGAGAAGGAGAAGGGATGGAGGGTGTCAGTCACTGGCGTGAACAAGTGGCAATGAAAGACGCCGAGGGGGAGGATAGTTCTGAATCTGGCACGGACATCTTCTGTGACGACGACGACGACGATGATGATGATGATGATGATAGTGACCTGAAGAACGATTCTGCCTGCGCTAGTAACGCTATACAACTAGCCGCGCAAAAATCAACGGAATCTCGACCAAGTTTCGGTAATATAGTTGTAAACAGTTCGTCAGATGTTCATTTTGGTAATAAAACGTTTTATAACGGACCGGTAACAATTAAACAATTTGTGTACACGACAAAGAACGGAAGTGTAGATGTTCACCACAGTGAAACTGGTGATAAAGATGGTGATTCGCAAGTGGATGTGTCTAGTGGATTGCCTAATGGCAAGGTAAAGGATCCTACACCTGAGGATGAAAATGTTCCACGGGCCCCATCTGCACACACATTAATTAATGAACCTTCTCCAGAAGTGAAGGGGAGTTTGCTTCCAATATGGCAACCTTCCGGAAGTGAGTACCATGTTAGTAATACACGAATTTATCCAAACGGATATGTACACATGAGTGAAACTTCGCATGCTTTGATTTCCAACGGTGGTCATGCTAGTCTGTAAATCACATTTGTCTTGATGTACATTTATTTCAGGTACAAAGCTGTTGCTGTGAAGCGAACCACGCTGACGTGGGTATTTATAAACGCTTCTTCATTTAATAACTAGTCGAAAAATGTTTCACATAAAATGTTGGAGATCTTGGACAGGATCTCTGTTGTTTCATCACGTAGGTCTGTAATTTGTACACTCTCCACAACGGCAGGACTTGTTTTTTTATTGCTAGTGGGGTGGGACTAAGTCCCTTGTACTGCGGCGACTTCTGGCCTATTGTACCAGCCCCAGATGATAGGTGAGGGTGATTGTGGAGCGATTGGTGGAGTGAAGATTGGCAGGGGAAGCCGAAGTACTCGGAGAAAACCTGCCCCAGCGCCACTTTGTGCACCACAAATCACACTTGACCAGACCCGGGATCGAACCCGGGCCGCCGCCGCCGCGGTGGGAAGCCAGCGACTAACCGCTTGAGCTATGCCGCGGCCAAACGCCAGGACTTAGTGGCACAAGTATCTGGCGAGATAATAAAAGGGTCGTGAAAGATGCATAGGTAAGGAAGTGAGAAAAGTTTATGAACTCCGATTTGAGCTCCGTGTAAAGTATAAATTTTACTGCGCCAATGTGGGTCGAAACTGATCGTGGCTGACAACTTCTAGTGCAAATTCCCGGTGCCATGCTTTATAGAAAAGAGTAGAGTGATACAGAACATGAGACATGGGTAGAGAATGGCGGATACAACCTGTTATGCCTTAATTTTATGCACCCTTTGCAGAGAACTGTGAAAACTGAGTTCCTGTCGAGAAAGGACATTCCTGTTACATGCGATCCTGCATGTATAATGTTTAGAACACCAGCGAGAATTTCACGCGACCATCCATTCTGGCTGAATTACGCAAGATTTTCAGGGAACAACAGAAGCCGAATTGGACATGTGCCAAGAACCATGGACCTAATGTTGTATAATTTTCATGAATTTCACAAAATACCAGTTCTCTCAACGCTGCTCTTAATTAAACCTCTTTAGTCACCACAAATATTTGTGAACTTAACCGAACTTGTCTGAAGAGGCTAGCGAGTCCCGAGCGAATTTGTAATAAACACATTTTTCGAACCTGTGACCATGTGTGTTTGAGTGTTTTTGAGTTTGTATAATGAGATTCCCGGTTCGATTCTCGATGGATTTAACAGCTATGTGTCCCCCCCCCCCATTTTTCTCAGTCTTGCCCTGGGAAATAATGAAAAGTATGTTCAGATATGCTACGACCAGATGCTTACTTTTTTTTTTTCTTGGCACTACAGCCTCAGTGGGCCTAGGCCTACCTCCATGAACTTCTCCGTTCACTAGATGCTTACTTATATGCACTTATTATGGCCATATTTTTATCTCACCAGATATTTGTCTGCCCAGGTCCGTGCATGGCGATGGGGATTGCTTGGTTAGTTGATAGTTACGTAGCTGCTCAGTTCCCTATGCCGAAAGTTACGTAGCTGCTCAGTTCCCTATGCCGAAAGTTACGTAGCTGCTCAGTTCCCTATGCCGAAAGTTACGTAGCTGCTCAGTTCCCAATGCCGAAAGTTAAGTAGCTGCTCAGTTCCCTATGCCGAAGGTTCGTCACGTATTGTCGTGTCGGTCTTCCAAACCGAGCGAATTGGCTCAGACGGTAAAGAAAGTTTTCTGACTTGTATTCACGAGGTACCCGGTTCGAACGTCAGCCAGAACATAACTATTCTGAGTGAGGTGTTTCGTCGCCTTTCCTCCCTCCAAGCAAATGCCAGTATAGTGACTAAATGACTGTTTTCTTTCAGACAACCTTCCCTTGTATTATTTACTGCCTAGTTATTGACAGCGTTGTTAAATAAACCACAAATAAAATAACTATAAAATTCAAAATCCTGAACTTGAATTTTAATAGCGACAGCGGGGTTTTTTCCAGTCCGTCCATCTAAACAACAAGGCCAATAACCCTCGGACCCAGTAGGATGCCATGTTTATGTTCTAGGGCTACTAGTGAATGGGAAGTGAATTGGTGAAAATTTGCAATAAAATATAAAAATAAACATCGAGTTTTAGCATCTTAATATAATATTGTGGAACCTTCTCCATGTTTTGGCACACTAGATAGGTCTATAGTTTAGTACCTGGCAGTACACTAAATCACAAACTACTAACTACAGGGAGGTTTTACCTTTGTTGACCAGTACGCGGCTCTGCGCTTCACGGCGACCGATGCACTGCTGGCTGCGAGGCGCATACGAATTTTTCTGATGAATCAATATGCTTGATGACCGATAACGATTGCAATTAAGGGACATCATTAACTTTGTGGACCGCTTGACGGTATTTTGTTTCACGGCGAGCATTGCTGTTAATGCTTGGGAATTTGTTTATGATTTGTCAGCAGTGGGCGGAAGTTACCAGCTCCGTTAGCTGTTTGTTGTCAGTTACAGTTAGTGGGCAGTGTGTTCCTTCGTGATGCCGTATACTTCAGAGCAACATGTATTTCTGTACGACATCTACATGAAATACGGATCTGGAAAGTGTTGGCAAAAATTTTCACCAAAATTTCGTGATGAAAGAGCTCCCAGTAGACCAACAGTTCAGAATTTGGTGAATAAACTTAGAGCAACGGAGCTCTTAATAGACAAGAAACAAAAGCATAAGCGCCGAGCGCTTACTGAGCAGTTAAGATGACACAGGGGCCAGACTTGTACATACACGTACAGAATCACTGAAACGTCTAGCTCAAGAGACTGGAGTGTCAAAAGTCGGGTGCCAACATGCATATGGATTCATTACCAAATTCGTGTGCGCCTCGCAGCGGGCGGCACAGCGGTCGCCGTGAAGTGCAGAGCCGTGTACCGGTCAACAAAGATAACATATACGAGTATATGCCTGTGCATGCACGCACGTTTTAATATTTTTATCGTTAATAGGCTACGAGTCTTTATTACGTAATGCTTTTCGCAGAAACACATTACAGAATTGAATATCTTAAAGGCTAGCAATAATAATAACAAAAGCGACAGGCAGATAAGACATTGGGATTAAAATGGCTGTTGGAATAACAGGTGTCCGGCTGCAGACACTTCCATCAGTAGTTTATTGTTATTTTTCGTAATTTAAAAAGCACGCACATGGAGTCTAACATTTATACCTATGTCTATGAATGATAATTTGTGTAATGGAATTTTAAATNAAGCTGGTCCAAGCGGTTCATGGCTTAGGCAGTTACATGTAAGGAAGTGCACAGCTCGCTGTATATGCTCTCGCATTCGTCTGGAATGTATGTTGCACAGTAGGGCGCTAGGGCAGATTTTCTGCGAGCACTCAACGATTTTTCAGTTGCAGCTTTCATCCCACCATTGTGGCATATTCATCAGTCAGCAGAGGTCAGTGTAGTAGGTCGAAGTAGTAGCAGTTAATACACCGTTCTAGACGTGCTACGAAACACAAAAGGTTTAACGAACTGATAACAGACGCTCACTTTAAACCGAAAGCAGTACCGCTACAAAAATAATTAGGAAACAGACAACTGAATAAAAGCAAAGAACCAGCTGAACAGGAATTACGCCTTTCCTTGAGACATGTTCGGTTGTGAAGAAACGAGAAGAAGGCAAACGAGGAATTGTGTCTTGTGTGACCACGTTCATCAGCACACGTCACGCGTCTACAAGTTAGAGGTCACAAAGTGACACGTGCATTCCTTTACTGCGTACACGCTATAGAAATTCCTGTTGAAAATTCTGTGGGAAAAACTCCACAGTTTGCATTATGTAGTTAGATGCCCACAGATAAGCTCTCCATGCGTAAACTGTTGTTACTACAGGCCAAGAGGGGCATTCCGAAATCTCGATTTCACGTAATTACGTTTCTTTCGGGGGGGGGGGGGGGCGAACCGACTGAAGCAAGACCCGACCTGTCACTGCTGTTTATTACTGCCTTCATTCGGCGCTCCTCTTAGCTGTTACTAACAGTAGCCTACATTTATGATTATTATTCTGCCACTCATAAGCTGTACCCTGTTGTACCACGTGTATTCACATAGGACATAGTATCGGCATTTCTAAGTAAAAAATATGAGTGTAAATGTACATGTGTCCTATCCCGAATGGTTTCTGGGATAGAACTGTTTCACCGTGCAGTAGTTTGGGACTGCTGGATCACATAATGGATGTTATCGCCCTCATAAAGGAACGTCAAGATGCACTCAGACAAGTAACACACCGTGTCCTTACAAGAGTTGCAAAGTGCATTGATGTTTTCGATGGAATTTTCAAAAATGTATTATACTAGGCGAGCTGTACCAATTTTGTCCCTTGAACAATAAATACCGGCATTGGAAAGAGTACGTAATCTCTCTTTCTTATCAACAGTTTTGGAACTGTACAATGAAACAGCTCTGTCTCGGAAGCCGGTCGGAATAGGGCACGTACATAAAACACTTTTTTGCTTAGAATGACTGATACTGTGACCTTTCCTCCCAGGACACTCTGTATGCGCCCATATTCATTTATAGAGAGAAAGGATTTGTACTTGGGATTGAAGGGTCTTTGGACTTGACTCATCGTCAGGTACTCTAAAGAACACGACGTTTCGGAAACTGTATCTGTTGCCGTCCTCAAGTGAGGAGGTAGGAGATACCTACTCTGTTGGGTCTATTAGAAAGAGCTAACCGCAGTCGCTAGACAGATTAGCTCTGTCGAATGGACGCAACAGAGTAGGTGTTTCGTGCCCCTCACCTGAGGATGGAAACATCCAGTTTCCGAAACGCTGTGTTTTCTAGTTTCTAAAGTACCAGACGATGTACAAAGTCCAAAGAGCAAGCAATTTTAAGTCTAGAGAGTTCTGCAGACAACTCTTTCGATACAAGAGATAACCCACGTGACTGCGTCTTGGCTTAGCAG